GGGCTGGGAAGCGGCTGAGCAGGGCACAGCCACGGCTGCCACAGTACACCTCACCCTGTACACGACAGGGAGGGCCCTGGTTGAACCCTGGAGCAGGGGAGCTCCAGCTAGTTAGTTATTAATCACTTCAGAGAGAAAACGAGCAAAAGCCAACCTGTGCCTGCCTGTAGCAGTGACCTGTGGGCCCTGGGACCCGGGCCAGGCTGCGCATCACTGAGAGGTGGTTGAGGGTTCATCTGTCAAAGCAGAGCTGAAGAACCAGCCCAGACCAGCACGTGCCCATCTCCCTGCAGCCTCCCCAGCCCCTCCATGCCCCTACAAGACTCTTGGGAGCTCCCAGCCTCTGGTCGCAGCCTGGCAAGGCTCTGGGCTGCACTGCAGTGAGCGGCAAGCCTGGCTCATTTAATCTATTCAATTTGATTCAATTTCCAGCCACATGATTCAATTAGCCCTGGAGGGACAGCACGGGAGAGCAGAGGGCTGCGGAGCATGGCCTGGCCTGTGCTCTGGCTGCCACTGAGCTGGGAGAGTGGAGCGCAGCGTGGAGCCACAGCAGCTGCTCCCACAACAAGAGCAAATCAAGCATCCAGTGATGGTCCCCCAAGGGTGCTGCTAGTCCCATTCATTTGGGGTCACCCTTCTGCTTGATCAGTGTCCCCCTGAGCTCACCCACACTGTGCTGCAGTGGGGACAACCGGAGCTCTGACCAGCACGAAGGACTCTTAGCAGCCCAGGGAATGCCAGGTCCCACAAGCCTTGCAACAGCTCTTCTCCAGCCTCCTGGCCCAGACTTTCATTCATCATTTACTTTTCTGTCCACCCTCCCCATGAAAGCATCAGCAAAGGCATGAATTAATTTCCAGTAGGAGAATAGCACATCTTACGCAGGACCCTTGGGATATCTGCAGCTCCGAATGCTGGGCTTTACCCCCCCCTTCCCTTTCAGGATACTGCAATGGCTCGTCTGCCAAAAGAACGCCATCACCTCCAGAGGAACTAACTTCTGTCCAGTACATCCCTGCTCATCCCAATAAGTACCAAACAAGAAAACAGCCCAGAAAACAGGAGATGAGAATAAATATCCAGGAGACATTGGTGCTGACACCGAGATGGAGAGATGCTGAGCTGCTTGCAAGTGCCAAGAGCCAGCTGTAAATCTTCCTCAAGACTTCTGGCTGTGCAGCAACCCCAGCACACACGATGGCAGCCGTGACTTGGCAGGGCACCGGTATCTCCCTCTGCCCAATAGGGGGAAGCAAGGGTTGGCAGATGGAGCACACTGGGCCTGACCTCCTGCACAAGTGCTGTCTAGATAGCTCTGCCCAGGACAGCAAGCTTCTCCTCCTGATAACCACCATGCGACAGCCTGGCAGGATCCGAGATAGGGAAGAGCATCAATACTTCAGGCGGGGAGAGAAAACTGCCCCAACAGGCACCAGAACATGCCCATGTGGAGGGGAACTCAACCCTGGAGATACATCCTCCACACCACTTGGATGGGATCACAGCAGGTAACAGCCATGATGAGGAAGAGGAAGAAGAGGATTATAAACCAGAGTAGGGTGAAGGTACACACTGCTCTGTGTACATAAGACGCAGGAGTACTACCTGCTCTGAGCACCCCAAGGAACTCCATCACATGGAGCTGACATCGCCTCACCAGCCTCCCTTTGATACTCTATGCCTCTTCTGACAGGCCACAGCCCAGGCAGGGGAGACTGAGCTCCCAAGAAGCAGCCTCTTTCTCAAGTCTGCTTGAAAAATAGGATCTGCAAGAGCTAAGGAAAAAGACAATACCAAAAAACACAGTGGCACTTACAAATCAATTTTTAGTAACTCTCTCCAAAGTTTAGCTCAAACTCAATTTTTCTCGTCCAGAATTTAGCCATTATTTTGTAAAGTATTTGTCTCCCTGCAGCAGCTGCCTAATTTAAAGGCAGCAATCTCGTTTCTCCCCACACTCCCCAAGCCTCAAAACCAGCTCTTCCAATAATAAACGGGGTTAGGAATTAGATATAATAAAATACACTCAACTGCTCAGATCAGATATGGGAAAGTTTGGGGCCACCAGCCGCATCCTGAGGCTGAATGTTAAAGTTAAATGACTTTCTGCTCAGTTCAAGCTGGCTTCCAGACACAAGCAGCAGTTGGGTGTTTAACAAAACAGGGAAATCTGCAGCAGAATCTGTGAGCAGGAGTTGGCCGACACCAGCAGCAGAGAAAACCATACTGTGCACAGGAAGATCTCTGCATCCCTTGCTCATGGGCTCTCAGCCTTGTCTTTTTCCCCTACTGGCAGCCCCAGGGGCACGCTGACTACTGCTGGTAGCTGCAGCCTGGACCAAGGAGGAGGCACCGCAGAGTGCACAACCTGCCTCTGTGCAAACAGGAAGAGCCCGAGGGCAAGTGACTGCCTGCTGCAGCCACATGTCACCAAACGGTGACAGGGCCACCCCCATAACAGCTCCCCTCCCCTCTATGAAGGAAAAACACTGCACACGCTCAATAGGCAGGGCTCTGCTATTTATTGAGCTCTAGGTTTGTATGTACATCCACTTACAGTGCTTGGTTCGGTGACAGTGTGACAAGAGGTTGCATGTCAGTGTCTTCCCCAGCTCAGTCTTGGATGAGGGAACCCATGAGAGCTGCTTCCAGTCACAGGCTGGGATTCTCAGTTCACCCCAGCAAGGGAGTGCCCTGGGGAAGATGAGATCTTCTATAGCTGAGCCCTGAGTGAAAAGCTGAAAACCCCAGAGGTTGCGGAGGCAGAGGCAGACTCATTCCCAACTCTGTCACGTATCTCTTTAGCCTCAGCCTAACTGGGATCAGGGAAAAGGAGGCATGTGGACAGCTGAGTGACTCAGTGCTCCAACAGCAGCGATGCTGGGGCTGCACCTCAGGGAAGCAGCTCAAGCCCCCTTTAGATGAAATTCCCCATCCCCAGAGGCGAGATTGTCTAGCAAGAGCTCCCCACATCTGCAGACATGTGCCATGTGCTGCATGCCATTGTTACTCTTTCTTCACCGGAGAAGCTGCCTCCTTCTACATGCCCTGGCGTGTCCTCAAGCAGAGTGATTTTATGGAGCCTGCTTGCTCTCCCAAGCACTGTCCCACTGGTATGTACACATTTCTACACACTTGCATGGCAGAAAGCAAATAAGTGTCTGGCTTAGCTGATAAAAGCCAGACAACTCCCTGCTGAGGCAAAGTATCTTCTGTCAGGAGAAGCCGGTGCTCCCAAGGAAAACAGACGGTCTTCATCGGGTGCTGTGCTCAGCGGGTGGCCCAAGGACACAGCTTTCAATTTCCCATGCTTATGGCAGATGAAGACGAAACATTAATGCAATTAACAGATGTTAGCATGAAGAAGCCTTGACTAAAAATGGTAGTAAATGAGCATGATGTTCACACCGCTCACACTAACCTAACAAGGCTACGAGTGGGGCTAGGCACTTTTTTTCCAAACAAAACTGTTTTCTAGGGAAAAACAAAAGTGGATCTGGGATGTAAATAACTTCTCTGCTTCTGTCCACCAAGTAAGGCCAGATCTGAACATCACTGCTGGGAGCTGAAAATGCAGGGGCAGGGAATGGGTGTTTGTGCTGCGTATTCCTGAGTTGGCAGCCGGACACAGCACTCGGAACAGGCTCCACTGGCCCTGGGCACCTCTGAAACACTGGCTCTGGAGCAGAAAGGCCTGCCTGGGCCCCGGGCATCATCCCAGAACTCTTCCTTAGGAAGTTCTCAGCAGTCCGTTGCTGCAAGTTGGTTTGTGAAGACAGAAGAGTAAGAAAATGAAGAAACTTCTTCTCCAGCTGCATTTTAATTGTGTGCTACACACAAGGGAAAAATGAAGACTTCTTAGTTCACAGAGGTCACCAGGCACTTGCAAACATGTGCAAGGCAGATGTTCTGGTGAGGAAGAGAAGGATTGTCACAATGCAGTCTCTGATGGGCAATAGGGGAGTGGGGAGAAGGAGTCACACTGTCCTCTGCCCTGTGAAAATGGAGTTATCTAAAAATGTCCCTCAACCTTAGAAAACGGCAGAGATGAGCTGGGCTACCGGAAGCAACAGTGACCCCAAGCAGAGCTGGTCTCCAGTTACAACAGGATCCTGTAAGCCAACAACCTTGGAGGTAAAATTTCTCCTTCTCTAATAATCCAATGTCTCGGTTCAAGTGATACCATGAGGAACCAGCAGTGAGCAGGGCCTGCTTCTTGGGGAAACCGTTTTATACCCCAAAGCCATTCCCAATGGGATTTGACGTACATTTCAGGAGGGCAGGTTGATCCGGGCTGACAGAAAAGAACAGCCCTCACCAGGGATCAGAGAGCTTTCCCCATAGAGCAGGCGAGTGATCTCAGTGCAGAACTGTCTCACACAGCTGGACTGGCTTTATTATTTTGGTTGGGAGCTTCCCCCAGCTCTGCTACAAAGGTTTCCAGCGCATCTTCCCTGAGGCTGTGGAGGGAATCCCTATTGCTATGTCACAGGAATGGCTGCGCATCCCCCTGGCACCTTACAGAATTGTTTCCTCCTCCTCCTCAACATGCCCATCACTCTCCTCAGCCCCAGTCCTGTTGAAACACATGCCTTTGGGATCAAACACACAGCAGCAAGGCTCTCCCCTAAAAGAAATGCAGTCCCTTCTGCAGGCAGAAGGCAAGGGGCGACTGGCTGCAGTTCTGTAGCGTCCCTGCCCAAACAGGCCCATCTCTGGTCAGCCCTGCGCAGCGGCAGTGTCCCCGCTTCAAGAGATCGTAGAGAATTCCTTCAGCAGCAGTTCCTGGCTCAGCGTGTTGAAAGCAAGGTTCTTCCTCACGTTGATGCTGATGGACCGAACCTGGCAGAGACAAAATAAGATGTTTTAGCCAAGGGACTCCTCCTGGCTCTCCATGAGCATGGTAGCTTTGATGCTGCTGACCTCTGGGTTCAGCATGAAACTCTTCTGCATGCTGTTACAGCCCCAGAGAACTTGCTGCAGCCAACTGACTGCAACTCCAGCTTAGTAAGAAATCCCTGAGGATCCTTATAATGACATCCCAGCAAGGAGAGTAAATTCCAAATGAGACAGGGATGGGAGAGGATGCTCTGTTTGGATACATGAGCTATGATGGCTTCCTGATGTGGGGCAAAGCGATGGAGAAAGTGAGCACTTCCACACTACACCTGGAAGAGCATTTTCTACCAGTGCCCACTGGTTCTACTCCAGCACCTGTAGATCCACAGATACGAAGTCAAGGAAAGGACAGAGGCCATGCTACTATGCTGTGAATACAAATTATTTCCCAGGCTGGCAGAAACCCACAGGTCCAGGGGTATTTTGTATTTTGTGCTGTGTGAGTTACACTTGAAGCTGGCTCACTAGCTGTCTCTGAAGAAGTGACAACTTTATCTCTCAGTGATGCCCATATTTCTGGTCACCTGCAGTCTGTGAAGAGCAGCTGGACAGCCCTGTTGTGCAGCAGCTTCCCTTCCCCCTTCATGCCTGCAGACTCGCTGGCTGAACACACAGGCCCCAGACTGGGCTCAGTCTCAGCGGCACTCGGCAACGAGAAAACAAAGTCAAACATCATCTGTGTCAGCGACTGTGTGCAGCAGTGACAGAAAGCAAAACTGACACAAGCTCATCCAAACAACGGGATTACAGTTCCCAGAGACTTGGAGCCTGTGATAATAAGGTTGTTGCTGACCTGGTTAGTGTTTTGTGCTTTTTAAAAGCACTGGGGGATGAATTATATAGAAGCAGAATGAGGAATCCAACAGTGGGGGCTGGAAAAGCAAGTTAGCACTTGCTGCACTGGTGAGAAAAAAATGAGGGGAAGGTTAGAAAGCTCCCAAAAAGGTAGGATTGTAAGAGTGGGAAGCAAATCAAGACATGAAAGGTTAACAGGGATAGCTGTGAAATGAACCCCACTGAACCCCATTGCACAGACCACAAGAACCCGAGCAAGCCAGCAAAGATGTCTACGCTCAAAGAAAGAATATTTAAGTTTCAAGTCGCCTCCAGAAACAACAAACTTTCCTTCATCAGGATGCTTGGCAGAGTCCCCATGCTCTTCATTTCCTTGGAGCACCCTCTCACCTCTCTTCTCTAGGTATCTTTTGACTTACTCCATACTGAAATAGTTTAGGATCGTGTCTTGTAGGATAACCCACTTTAACATAGATACAGCAACTCATCTGCAGAACACTGGTTTGCACTGGGCTGTCCCCCTGTCAGGAAACAGGAGCCCCACTAACAGGATTTGGTCTTAGTCCTACTGAGTGCTTCCCACTCCAGTGCTCAGCAATCCAGTTCTGACATGAGGGGAACAACACGGCTAAACAGATGAGAGTCCTCTGCCCTGGGGAGCATGACTGCCTGGAGAAAAGGGGCAGATGCTACATGTAGTGTAAGCCAGCATTCTTATTCTGACTACAAGCATTTCTATGGGCCTCAGCAACAGAAAGGACAAGCAGAAATGAGCTCCTGGCCTTAGAAACTGCTGCCAGGGGCCAGACACCAGCAACAGAAGATGCCCAACTTGTATACCGATCAAGGTCTCCAAGAAGTATGTGGCAGCAGTCTCTGTGAGTCCAGAAAGGGAGGCTGGAGTGGCACATGATGAAAACACAGGTCTTAGTGAAAACTGTAGCCATGGGATAGAGAGAGCACAAGAAGTTAAGCTTGTTTAGTTTGCAAAGAGAAGGTTTAGGAAGAATAGAGCAAACACTCTCCAATATGTAAAATGAGGTCATAAAGAGAACAGTGAGTAATATTTCCCTAGCTCCCTAGGGATGGGGCAAGAAATACTCAATTTAAGACAAAGAAGATTTACACTGGAAAAGAGGAAATACTTTTAAACCCATGGGTTGTGAACCAGTGAAGTAGATCACCTGGGGAGCTGTTTTCACTTGAAAACAGCTTCAGATTTCAAGAGGAGCTTAGACACAAACTTTGGTCAAGAGCAGTCTAGTTGGACTTAAATTTGCTTTAACACAAGCTGGGGAGACGTTTCTACAAATCTCTGCCCAGTATTGCTTCTGCTGTGAGAAAGCAGCAGCTCTGAACCAACCAGCTTAAAAGGTAAGAATAGCTCAAATTAGAGTTAAATCAAGTTATCTCCAGCACCAGGGCTCAGGTCAGGGAGCCAGAGCTCATCTCCCTTTTGGGATTGGAAGACCAGACAGCAACACAGGGAGGTGTCAGCCTGTAGCAAGGATAAACTTCAGAAGCTTCCTGCAGTCTGCCTGAGCTGCCCCATCCATGAGGCTACACCCCCAGGACTTCTAGCTCCTGGTGCAGCGAGCAGCCTGGCTGCTAGCCTGGAAGCTACCAGAACCCTCTAGAGTGGCTTATACAGGGGGACAAAACCAACCCCAGAAAGTAAGCTCAGAGCTTTAACAGCCATTCTGCAAGGAAGTAAAAGCAGAGCATGTGTCCTCTCTTGCTTCTGCACAGAGCATGCTGGAGCACACGAGGGCCAGAAAAGCTTTTAGAATTGATTTCTCCCTGTTAGCAGCTTGGATCACATTTAACCCACAAACTTGGCAAAAATGGGAAATGCATGAAAAGCTGACATCACTTAAAGAACAACAAGCAAATGAAAGAATGGATGTAGTGGTGGCATTAACTATGTGAGGAAAGCAGTATTCAGTTCTAGTTTTGTGTCATTATAGCTGGACAGGAGGAACATGTACAGACACTCCTACTTCACAGCAAGTCCCATCAATTAAACCTGTTTCAAATCAACAAGCAGCTCTTAAGAAATTTGTACAATGGGAGGAAGGTTTACACTGACTACTACATCTAATTAAAAGTCAAATTAGTGTAATTTCCCCTGCAGAAATCAACCCCTAATCAGACTATTTTGAGACTCTGCTGAAACCCATCCAACTGCAAAGACAGTGAATGTTTTAGAAAGATGCTGAATCTCTTTCTACACATTCCTCCAGCTGCAATGTGAGGGTCCAAAAGCTCACATCCAAACCATTCATTCTATCAAAGCAGTACAGACCTCAAATGACATCCCTGAGGGTTTAAAGGAAAAGAAATAAAAAGTGTTAGAAAACTTCCTAAGTTCCTTCCTTTAGCCCCTCAAAGGCAGCACAACAGGCCAGAAAACCCAGTTGATAAAACACTCTGCACATCACCTTCCACCACAATGTGGCTGCAGTATCACAGGCCTTTGAAAGCTTCTTTGAAAAGGGGATGTGAGAAGAAAGCAGATTTTTCTTTGGGATTAGCAAGAAAGAGCAGCACTGAGGCAAAGCCAGAGAAGCAAAGCAGTGCATTAGCAGAGGATGTCAAAGGAGTGAGAACGAGATTTTTAAGCATAAAGGAGTCAAGAGAATGGCTTGGGGAAGTTTCTGCTCACCCACTTAATGGGAGCACAGAGAGATGAAAAGGCAGCCGAAAAGGAAAATGGCTCCTGCGTGTCATTCCCCACCAAGAAGGATTTGCTTTAATGCAATCACACAGACAGAGGTAAGAAAATCAGTCAGAATCTGGAAGCAATTATTTGTGAACAGATCCTGTTCAGGAAGACCTGATGGGACCAGCATGAGTTTGGAAACCATACTGGAAACCTGTAGTTCACCACCAGACCTGCTCCTTTGGCAGAGCCCGTGAGCAAAACTGCAGCAACTTCACTCTGCCCCCTCCATGAAATCCTGCAAACCTCAGCTGTTAAACACAATGCATTGGGCAGGGGGATATTATCCAATGTCAGACCAGCAACAGAAGCCAAAGTAAAGATTCAAAAGCCTTGCAAAACAGAAGCCAACTACGTGGTTTGAAGAGGATACAGGGCAGACTAGAGCCTTTTTGATGAGTTGTTCAAACAATTAATAAAGCTATCAGTTACGGCACACCTAGAACAAAAACCAGCGTGGAGGACAGGAGGCCAGCTGGGTTTGCTGAAGACAAATCATAGCACATCAGGTTGATTTCCTGCTGTGTTGAGGGAACAGCTTAATGGAATGCAGGGGATTTTCTATAGCTGTGAGTAAAGAACATTTAATAGGGTCCCAATTCTCAGGGCATCTAGAGAAATGTGGATTAAACAGATTCACAACTGGGTCAAATCAGCACATTTAGATGGTAATTATTCAGGCTTTCATATGCTCTTGAGGAGAGGGACTCAGGGGTACCTGGATGGGTAATTTTCAGAAGGCAGTTGAGGAGGGACTGGTTAATCTAAACAGATTCTTAAATGATACATAATTGGGATTTGGGGGTGGGGGAATCATCGGGCTGGGAAGAAAATAATTTTAGCTGAAGTGTTTTGTAGCTGTGATGATCTTAGGACTGAGAATGTCATTTTAATCAATTGGCATGATCAGCCTGAGCTTCTGCTAGGCCAAGTGGAAAGTGGGGCATGCAGGAAGCAGAGCAGTCATGTGGCTGGGGAAAAAGATGCTGGCTAAGGATGGCAGGAGCCCTTGGGTTGGAACAAATGACAAAAGAAACACGAATGTGTGTTATTTCCAGAGTACAGTAACAGGGGAAACCTGTGTCACAGGAAGGCTATGGCCAAACTTCTTTGCATTTATTCCAGATACGGCATCAAACAGCAGGCTAGAGTGACAAAAACAAGCACAAAGAGCACAGAAAAATGGCATGAAAGTGACAGCAAGTGTTTTTGTTTGCATTCTACCCAATAGCAGTGCTGAAATGACCCAAAAACATTAAAAAGCATTCTGTAGAAGGAAGCAAAACCAATTCAGGCATGCTTGCTCTGGAGCAGAGTAGACAGAGAGAGGCATAACATTCCCAAACTCATGCAGACTCGTGATGGAGTGGGCAGGCATCAATTACTCATCAATCAGCAAGGTCAGAGCTAGAAGAGAGAATCAGCTCTCAAACTGGTGGAGAAAGCTGCCAGAGCTAGAGATCTCTCCCTTTGCTGAAGCTGTAATGATTCAAAAGTGAAGAAAACCAGGCTTGCCTCAGATACCAGCCACTACAAAAGCTGCCTCCCTAGTGATGCAGCTCTTGGACAAGAAAGTTGTGTCAGGGGTCTCTGGAGCAGGCTGAGCAAGCTGGTTTGCTGAAGAATGTAACTACCAACCCAAATTATTTGGACTCAGTTTTGTCTTCACCATGGTATTTTTGTGGGGCTTCCTACCATTAGTCTTCTCCTCTGGCATAAGGAGACATTTGTAGAGAATGCCTTTGTTTTCTTTGCCTGGGAACTCTTAATTTGTGAGTGATGGAGGAAAGCAATGAGCAGGCACATGTTTCACCAGCATCACATATTCTGCTCAGTCCCATACTTTGCGGTCCCCTTAACAACAGCAAAAAGGCCAAGTTGCTTTGTGTGATAAACCCAAGGTGAGAGTTGTCAGCTTCTCCACCACTCAAATTTACCACCACAAAGCACAGTGGACTAACTGACTGCTTCCTGGCCTGAGCAGTCTGGGGGTTCCTCCCCAGCCATGTATTGTGGGGCAGGGAGCTGCAGGGCACTTTCAGATCTGCTGAGACATGCAGTGCCTGTTCAGATCCTATTCCTGCCCCGTCCTTGTAGGCAGCCCAATGGAGTAACAGGGCTGCCACTGCCCAGCCTGTAAGCAAGGGCTTTGAAAAGGGGTTGTTGATTCTTTAGAATCAAGGCATCTTACCAGCTCTTTGAAGAAGGCAGCCTCTTTATGCTGCTCTGAGTAGCGTTCATACTGGTCCAGTCCATCCTGCAGCTTCAGGGTCAGCGTGTCATAGTTGGATCGCACCACTTCCAAAACCTGCCAGAGACAGCAGAGGAGTCAGCATCCACAGACACCTCACCATAGGAGGAGCAAGGCTGAGGTAGATCACAGCTCTGGCACCTGTTTCTGCAACATATATGGCTTTAACAGCCAATATTTGGCTCATGACTAACAACACAGAGGTGGGCACTAAAGTCTTCCTAATGCCAGTAAGGAACAGCCCTCAAATTCACAGAATTTCTCCATTCATGAGAACAGTGGATGAGCCTGTATCTGTAACAGCAGCAGTTTTCCAGATACTATTATGTCACAAGGAGTAAGAGACACGATCTCATTAAACTAAGCAGCTAATTACCATTTGGACACCCAAATGTAACACAGCAGGCACTATGCAAACACAGGTTTGCCTGACCTCATGGTCCTTTCAAAGCTAGTTTTGCCAGTACACCCTCATGGATTTCTCATCACCATTCACAATCTGCTAAACCACCAGCTTCTACAGCTGTTCAGGTCAGCTTCCATACAGAGCACTGCACTCCACTCCTCATAGGAACAAGCTTCTGACAGGCACCAAGATAAGACCAGCCGTGGTACAGACTCTGGTCTTGGAAACAGATGGAGACACAAATCCAGGCCTTCCTGCCAGGAGATATTTTATTATCTGCCTTTACTGCAACCAAAGCACTTCAGCTTCTGTTACTGCCTTACACTGCTCCCAGCATGGGGATATACTTGCAAATGCATAGTTACACATCTCTGTCCTGTTGAACTATTTATTTTCCTAACTAGGGAGCACCAAGAGGGACTCTCACAACACCTTTTAGCTTCAAAACATTGCATGGACAAACACATTCCTCAAAACATTTGTGAGATGGTAAGTAATGATAATCTTCCTACCAGGAGCCACACAGCTTAGCACTCCTGGGCAAAATATATGCTTGAAACAATTATTTTGAACACATGAACTTATGTCTGTTACCACTGGTCTGAGAGCTAAACACAGTATCAGCATTTGAGGTTTGCATTACAGTAGCTTCTGCTCATGAAAAGCCTCAGCCAGGAGGACTACAAAGTGTAATGTGCAAAGGAAGAGGATCCTGCTCCAGGGCATCTCAACTCAGAAAAGATCCTAAGAAAAGCATTGCAGAGGATTTAAGACAACAGTGACCAGAATAATAAGGAACCCTTCAACTTCTCTTGTTCTCCCAACAATGTAAACACTACCCTCAGTTGCCCTTTTAGGCAGATGGCAGCTTTGTGTCCTTATATCCTTTACTCTAGGAAACCTAGAGCTGCGTAGGGTTCCTTCAAAAGCTTGTTTCACCCAAACTTTGTGGTAAACAGACACACTTATCCAAATACTTAGAAGTGGGCTAGGGCCTGAGGTAGCAGAAGCCACCACAGCATCATCCAAATGAGGACTGGGGGTAAAAAAAAGGTTCCAGAAGTGGTTCCCAGGCAAGATGGTCACACAGAGCCTCTTTGCGGCTCAGCTCTCCTCCAGCATTGCAGAGGAGAGCTGGAGGTAGGAATCAGCATTTTGCAATGTTATTTAAGAACAGCCTGTCAGTGTCCTGCTGTTCCAAGAGCATGCAGCTTCCTCTCCAGGACTCATTTCCTAATGCTGTTTGTCAGCTCCACTGGCAGAGAGGAGGAACCCCCTGCAATGACAGCCATCTCCAAATTCTTGTTCCTCCATGCAGACGCTGGGAGAAGTCTCACAGAGTGAAGAGCAATGATGAAAGCAGGCTGCCTGGGTACAGGAATAGTTTACTCTGGGATGCAATTACCCACTAGGGATGGAGAGCAATAGTATAATGCACCTTCTTCTGAGCCTTAAAGAATCTAGCAGCCTGCATGAACTGGGGGGCTATCCTCCTCTCAATCTGAGGAAGCCAAGTTGCCCAAGATTAATAAACTGCAGGGGAGAAATCTTTTTTAAAGGTGAGGAGTAGAACAGGCTGCTCCAGCAGCAGATCAGAGTGGAGGCATTTTACTCAGGGCCTCCCTGGGTAAAACTTCCTGGGGAGTTTTACAACTCCCCCAGAACCTTCCCTTCAGCTCCTCTTCACTCCTCTGTGGCCCCTTATGCACAGCCGCACATAGTGCCATAAAGGTGTGTCCAGACAATGGATGTACATGCTTCTCCGCAAAGAATCAGGATTCCTCCTTGCTAACTCCCAGTAGAGATCTCTGCAGATACTTAACAGAGGCATCCTCAAACCACAGAGAGCAGCAGTAAACCCTGATGGCAGCAGCAAGCTCTGTAAGCAGTACTCTTTAGATCAGTCCTCCTCTGTAACCTTCAAAAGGCAGCTGTGAACTCAGTTTGATACTCTAGGAGGACAGGGAAGGAAAAAGAGGCCCCAAAGTCTCCACTGTGTTACCCACTACTTATCATAGTCTCTGCAGTGAACTTCAGATCATCTTATCCCTTTAGCTATGTATTTTCATTGGCTTTCATTCCTTATCTTCTTTAATTATGAAATAGGACTTAAAAAGAAAGGGTAAGTTAAAAATAAACAGCTTCTTCTCACTGCCTGATAATTTCCCTCTTTTGCTGCTGCTGAGAACAAATGCTACGTGGGATCTGAGAGAAACCCACTCACAGATCATTTCACTTCATACTTTATAATGGATAGGAGCTGTTATTGAGATTAGGACCTGACAACCTTGAGCCAATTTCATCTGCTCTTTAAGATGCAGCTGCTAGACAGAGGAGATGTTAAAGAGCAGCAGAAGGTATCCAGAGCATCTAACATGAAGGTTTGAAAGGCATCAGTTTTCTACACAGATGACAAAAATTCGCATCCTCTGTGTAACAGAAGACTGTGTGTGTTAGCATTCTTCGCCCTTCTTACACACTGCTGTGACTTGCTCAGGAAAACTACCGCAGGAAGAATGCCCTTTTGCATTAAACACAGGAGATCTCTATGTGCACCTTTCTGTCAGTCACAAAAGAACTAGAAGAATTTAATTTTGAGATTAAAGCATTTCTCCTTCAAGGTCTTGTCCAATCTCATCTTCCTACAAGTCTCCATGGGAGACTAGAAAACAAATTCCAAGATGGTGAAGTATGAATTCCTTTAAGAAAGGGAATTTTAGCTGGACTTTTCCACACAGATTTTAACAGTCATTCTTTTCTTTCGTTTGTTTTTAAATCTCACAAGCACATGAAAGAATATCACTTCTAGTGTCAGGCAAGGATAGAGCAAAATGGACTGCAGATGATATCCAAGGAGCTTGATGTGACACTCTTCAGATTGCAAGAATAAACATGCAGGGAAAAGTATTTAAAAAAAAAAGCTTTACTGTATCTTCACAGTTGGAAAAAAAAAATAAATGAAGAGTAGTCACAACCTAAATCTCTTTTTGTAGGTTACCTCAGGGGGATCAGAGTCTTAAAAAAGCAGTATGACAGAAGTGAGCGACTCAGACCCGGCCAACAGAAGAAAAGCAAAGGCTGCTGACTTCCTTTCCTGCAGTTAACTGTCTCAGCCCTAGAGGCTACATTTCCTTCTTTACTCTGTGGCAACAAACCAGAACTCAGTGGAGCTGCATCACTGTAATTCAGAGGTAATATGCCATCAAATTAACCCCCTGCCCCACCATTCACTCACTTGCTTTCCAGAAGTTCCAGAGAAACATTAGCAATTCAGGTCCCTCCATATGTGTCCCCAAACCAACCTTTCAGGAGCTGCTCTGAACAGCAAGTGCTTTCTGTGGCTCTCAGAGTCCAGCTTCCTCCTGCAGCTACAGCTGCCCATGCCCCGTAACTCTCATTCTCCAGTAACACCAACAACTTGTGAACTGGGTAACATCACAGGAGGATAGCTTCCAATGGAGGGGGTGACGGACTCAGCTCGCTACAGCATCCCACACATGCCGTGCCATGCCATGGTGCTGCACCCAGAGGAACACGATTATTCCACCATTTTTGGCTCATTACTTTGCTGCATCCACCAGGTTATCCCTCCCCTGCAAACTGGATGGACAAACTCTGAAGGGTCAGTGGACTCTTGTGGACACCAGCTCTGAAACCAGTTCCCCCAGAACCAAGAGCCCCTGCCCCAAAATTTTGTGCCTTCTAAACAGACCACGTTTTGCTGTACCACTCTACATACAGGCTCCTTCCTTACTGCACTGGAACTGTCCCCTCTGGCTGATCCTCAACAAAAGCTGACTGGCTGCACTTCCCCAGGAGAGACCAGACCTTCTGGAAGAGCCTTGTCCTGGAGAAGCAAAGGGATTACAGGCAGCAGTCTCCAAACCCCATCCTGCCCAGGAGAAAACAGCCACTGCGAACAGCAAAGCCAGAGAGGGAGCTGCACCACCAATGAAATCTAATGGACAACATGCAGAAATAGGGCCCATCTATCGGGCAGACATGGAACACTTAATTGCTTAGTAACTTTTCAACCTTCAAAATCTTTCATCATCTGCCTGCAGTCTGTGCCTTACTAGAACATAAAACTAGTGTGCCAACAATTCACACAGCAAAGGACTTGGTGGTGGGTAGGTTCTGGGAAGCATGAACGGGTAGTGACACAAAGGAAAACCAGAAGCAAGAAGAAAGCAAGGTCTCTACGCTGTCTTTTTAATCAGTGCAGGAAAGGACAAGAATGCAATCAGTCAGCATCACTGGTACCTCACTAGAGCCTCTCCATGCCCGTAAGACAGTCATTAGTTTCCACAACACAGAAGCAGTTGGAAAAAAACTGACTGAATGATTTCACATCAAGCAAAAGGAAAAAAACGTACAGCCCAGCAAACCCCAGGTTAAAATGCATTTGCCTCCCACACCAACACCCTGCATCTCACAAGGCTGGGATGGGCAGGCCCTGCAGATCAGACCTAGCAAGCCCTCGCTGGATGGAAAAGCCAGATGCTTCAGTCCCAGCTGTCGCATGCTGGAGGGTGGAACAGCCAGTCCATGGGGCATGTGGTGCCAGCCCCTTATCAGCACTACTGCATGGACACAGCATCGGGGCAAAGGGCAGCCAGGGACGGACAAACATGCCCTGTCCTCTCTACAG